CGAAAAGCCAAAATGGTTTGGAAGTTTGTTTGGACTATTAACAGAGAGCAACCTGTCTGATGTCATAGGTACATGCATACTAGGGCCATGTGTAATCTCCACCGGTAGCAATGTGACCCAGCTACAGTGGGAGGACTTAAAACGGACACTAACCTTTGCTTGGGAGCTACATGTGTATAGCTCAGCTGTACTATTTCTGTTGGTGGTGGTTGCTGCAACATTTGGAGTGATTGGTGGGGCTAATTTGTTCCAACCGTTTTGCAAGGTCTTCACACTTACTAACATCCTGCTTCTGCTAGCAGGTCTGCTTCGATTTGTACAGCTCATAACTGACCCATATGGTACCAGAAACATTCTGCCTCGCCCTGCCCTCAATGCTTTGTATAACTTACCTGTTCCCTTAATGCTCTGGGCCCAAGCCACAATGGCAGTTTTTGCTCTGAGAGAAGAAACATCACCTCAGAGGCTCTCGGTGACTGGGGGGCTGGTAGCACTGCACTGTACCTCCCTCATGTTGGCTGACCTGCTTTCCAAAACCTTGTCGCCAGCACTGCCATTAATGCTACAGACATTTACTATTTGTTGGGGGATACCACTTTGTTTAGGAATCTTTTTCCAGTCTCTAAAGAAACTCTACTCCTCCCACAGGACTCCACTACCAAGGTGGAGTGCCCCCAAGCGCTTAGAAAACAGTGTCAGGCATGTGCTATTGATGTGCGCCCTCCTCGGAGTGCTCTCCTGTGCTTTGCAAATCTATAGTTTTCTCTGGCTGTATGGGTTACTTGGTGACTGGCGCAGATTTGGGTGGGGCTGGTGGCTAGTGCAGCTCTCTGCACGACTGCTTGAGCTGGCCTGGAGTTTCTCTCTTCTACTGCTGGGATCTCAGGTGTTCTGGAGACCACAAGGAAGTAAGCAGACAGGGAAGAGGAAACCGGTGTCACGCTGGAACAAGCTGTTGGACAGGTTACCAGTGGGGCCTTGGAGGAGACCGGATAAGAACTGGGCTAAACTGTTGCCCAATAACTGGAAAGGTCACAAGCAGTCCCGTGCAAATGTCAGCCAGTCAGTCCGAAGCCAAGCAACTCCAGCAACCTCAATAATGACTGTGCATGACAACGCTGGAGTTATTGGTGGAGGTGTCCTATACAGCAGCAGTTATGACAACTGTGCCTCACTTCTGTGGACTAGTGGTGTGGAATGGCAAGAACATGAGTGCTTTCTCTCACTTATTGAGTTTGACCTTCACCCCCCTTCACCCATCAACCTCCATCACAGCATTGACAATGCCCTCCATCATGCCCACTTGCTTGGTGTAGGTAAACTTTTCAGCCCTTCAGGACCCTCCTGGACTCAAAATGAAGGATCAGGTGGACCACTCTGCGATAATGTTGTATCACCCACCAGCCCAACTAACAAAGCCTATAGGTGGGCTTTAGATAATAGCTTGAGTCCTAACTCCCATCAGCATCTTGGGACTGCAGTGCAGCAGACTCAAGTGTCTGTAATTGAGCCTCTGGCTTCTTTAACTCCAGAGACCGTTAGAAAAGTGTGGGAGAGAGATGTGGCCATCCCAAGAGTCACTTTGTATGATGACTGCACCAGCATAGCAAGTGAAGGTGACATCACTAGTCTTTGAACTAATAAGAAGTTTAGCACTTTGGCACTTTCAACTTGCAAAATTTAAATGCTTCAGATTTAAATGCTTTTAAATAGACCATGGACACAATCTTACTATTCGAGTAATTTGACTCTTAAATTCTTATAGACTGGAGTGTAATGAATACATTAAAGATGAGTAATTACTTAGTCGTTTTAAAAGCTCTCTCCCTGCATTTATAAACTTGTTTAATACATGTACAATGAAACATCTGAATCCTGTTTTTACAAATTACATAAAAATAAATAAAGTAATTATTGTAACCTACTGACTCATATTAACCAAATGTTCTATATGGTTTCTATCTTCCCTGAATTTCAAACAACATACAAGCATACTGCTCTGGATATGCTAGTGTGCTATTGCTTCTTCTTTCTTCTTCTTCTGTGGATTTATTGGTGGGTCGCATACCAGCTTTTTAGGTGCATACCGCCACCTGTGCTGGAGTGTGAAGTGATTTCAGTCTGTGTGTATATTATGATATCTATATTCTATTCTCAAGTCCACTATTCTTAACGAATTTTAAAACTGTCCTTATTATTTTACCAGATCCTTGTTTTGTGTTTAATATGTTGCAGATTGAAAATTCATTGCATCCAATGTTCTGTAGTTCTCTTTGTAGTTCATTCCTTTCCTGTTTATACCTAGAACAGGGTAGGTTTCCTATACTTGGCATATTTCACATGATGCTTTATTGTGTTTTCCTATTATGTGAAGTGTAGAATTAAGTTTTGTATGACCCATCCTTAGTCTTGTTAAAATGATCAGGGCCCGTATGTATAAAGCTGCTCAGAGTAAAATTTTAGTCTCAAAATTCTAAGAATGATGTAATTTTACCCTTATTTTTTCTACACTTAAGAATAATTGTGATTCATAAAGGTTCCTAAGTGTTAAGACTAGATCTCAGCTCCTAAATTATTTAAGAGAGCTGGAGAGGTCTCCAAACCTAGTTAGGAGTAACAAGATGGCAGCAAAGAGGAAGAGACACACACTTTCCAACAAAGATATGACGTATTGCAGTTATATGATGATATGGAGTTGATAAAACGATACACATTTGATCGTCAAGATAGTCAGTTCTTTCTGTAACTGACCAAGTATGAAATTTAATAACTTCTTCCACTCTACAAATCAATGCTCTAGCTGCAGAAATGAAAGTAGGAATTAAATGTTTTTGGCTGGAAAACTGGGAAAATGCAGCAATGCACTGGTGATGACACAGTAAGCAAGGTCTTAACTATTGTGGCACAAACCCCACCAAACACAACAGTGGCCAAAAGTGATATGTGGAAATTTATGTGTATTTTCTAAATACGAGGGGGAAAAACACTGACCAGTGTTGCCAACTGCTTTCAATTGAAAGCTAAAACAGTCGCTAAATGTTCCTAGAGGGCGGGGAGCAGTAGCTCATTTGCATTTAATGAGCCAGGCACGAAAAACAGCTTGTTTCTGCTTCCACTTAAAATAGGCATTTTCAGAATTATATAATAAATGACCAGTGGAGTATTTTGAGCTGAAACTTCACACACACATTCTGGGAACACCAGAGACTTGTATTACATATTGTAAAAAGGGGCATAATATGTCTCCTTTAAAATACCATAGTCACCTACTGAAAGCTTCACTTTCAAATTTAAAGTGTCATTTTTTTAAATAAATCTTATTTCAGTATTTCAAAAATGTAAATATTTTAAAAAAATCCATTCGCATTTATGCAATTGTAAGTGTGAAAACATCAAAAATAGATTTAGTTTGTTTGGTAGCCTGTAGTGTTTTATTGTAATTGAGTTTGATTACATATAATCATTTAATAGAAGATGATGCATACGTAATGTTACAAAAATTGGCCATATAATGGTAAAAATTCCCCTGAAAATCAATTTAAGGAGGCAAATATCACCCTTCAGTGAAAATTCATTTCTTTCACTGCTGTGAACTAATCCCTGCACAGAATATTAAGAATATGAAAAGCTTTGGGAGCCGGCTGTTCACAGCAGAAAAAACACACTCAGTAAAATATTTTCTACTTATTGTTAGCAATAAAATCCCAGAAAATGTTGAGATATAATTTTTGTCAATTTTGCACATCCCTAGCTGGAACAGACTGTTGAAGAGGTTATCAATAGGGCCTTGGAGGAGAATAGATAGGAACTGAGCTGAAATGTTGCTGAATAACTGGAAAGGAGTCATATTAGAATAATATAATATTACCTAATTACTTATAAAATTAACATATCATACAACTCCCCTCTCTCTCTCTCTCTATATATATATATATAGTATATTTGATAACTATATTGTAATGATATATAATATTATAAGGGCACACATGCACTGAGAGCGCTGAAGTAAACTAACCCTGAAACATAACCTACTCCGGAGCAGGTTATGTTCAGAGAGTAATGCTGTGTTCAAGTCCTCTTGGGACGTTCGTACTTACGAGATTACAAGTCGTATAATAATGTGTCAGGTGCGTTCAAGTCACTTTGGTCGGAACAATATGGCGATTGAACTTTTCTTCCATAAAATTTAACGATTTTTTAAACTTTACATCTACAAAATGATGAATAAAGAATGTGCGTCAATGTGTTTTTGCTTTTTTTCTGTTTTTATTCAATTTATGAAGGTGATGTAAACGGAATCATTATATGTTCTTAGGTAATTATACAATAATATAATATTTTGTATATGTAACATATAGTTTTATTTTACATTACAAAAAATTATTCATTTTATTAATTTCAACAAATTTTCCATCAATACAGATGCTGCATATCTAGTCTTTGGATGCGTGCGTCCATTACATCCGACACGTTTTCTCACTGACACGCCCCCAACTCGGAAACTTGGGGCTTAAAGAAAATTTTGAGTTTACCACTCATAATAATGACTTTGTGGTGGCGTTCATGTGCGTTCAACTCGTAAATACGATCTATCCAACATGACTTGTACGCACCATAAGTTGCTATGGCTACTTACATACCCTGAGAGTTACCTGTTTTTGGAACCGGAAGCTGAGTTTATCCGCTTACTTACCCTTAAAGGTATGTCACATAACCTGCTTTCTGGAATACCCCCCAGGTAATGAACAGTTATACACACACTTGTGGTCTTCATGCTCACTTGAACATTTGCACCACATACAGGAAATACATCATATAAGTAGTCAAGTGGTCAAGTGTAAAGACTGCAAGTGTGGGTATTTGGACAAGGGGCCTGTCTTAAATCGCAGCATAATGAGGCACAGGTGAAAACAACAAGCTGACTGATTAACAGATTTAATTGTTCATCCAATATCACTGAGCGATTCAAAAGTGAGTACAAATAGCACAGCATGCTTCAGTAAGCTTGTCAAGCTGTAGAGTTAAGGTTTTTCTAATAATTCTGGCTTTCTTGGCACATGCTTGAAAACTTACCATGCCTTGGGCAAAGGGCATGTTACTTTTCACAATGGCTGTGGTGACACTGAGTTCTTCTTTAAGGGCTGATCCTGAGGACTTTTCAGAAGTAGGTTCTGCTTATGGAGCAGCCTCTGAAAACAAGGCCCGTTTTGGCAAACTTTTAATTGGTGGTCAAAGTACAGTATCTAATAATAATGTTAAGACCTCTGCGTTGAGGTCAGTGGAGTCTGATGGGCACCAGTCAAATAAGAAAGGTAATTTTTAAGATCCTAAACTTAAAACTTTTTTTTTTTTAAGTGGAGTCTCTAACTTAAATTGAGTTGTCTTCCTTTAAGCATGGTTTCACTCTGCTAGCACTAAGCTGTACCATCTGGGTTCTTCTGTGCAATGTAGCAATGATTCAATGATCTTGCGCATTCCAGGACAGAGAATGTCACACGTTCTGGTTGACCGAGGTGAGTTTTTGTGTGGGGTGTTTTTTTTTTTTTTTTTTTTTTTTTTTTTTTTTTTTTTTTTTTAAATTCTCCCCATAAACTTAATTTATCAACCATCAGGAGAGGAGTCACCAGTGCCTTTGTCAGCGATGCCAGCTAGCTGTGGTTTCTCACTGAAGCGAGCACGCAGGGATGTGTCTCTTGTTGCTCCATACCGGGGCTGTCATGTCAGACAACAGGTTAGTGTTCATGATAAAGATGCAAAGTGTCAAGAGGATCTGGCTGCAGCCTTGCACTTGCACTCTCAGACACTTGCGCTTCCGCTAGCGACGTCACTTGCAGTCTTTTTTTATTTTGTTCTATCTATTACTGTTTTTTGTTTTTTAATCTCAACATTTTATAACAGTAGCCAGGTGGTGAAGACAAGAAAGGAACTCAATTACAATGCCACTTGCACTCTCCGCTACCTGCGACGTCACTTGCAATCGACACAAATCGTGTGTTGCCAATGGAGACCAGATGCTGTGGTGCTTAAATGATTGAAACGAATTTGGTACTTTAACATGCAGGGTCCTGCAAGAAAGACAATACCCACAAATCCATGGCCGCAGAATATGAACGCAATGCACAGTCTCGTTAAGTGTATTCCTCCTGTAGAAAACCATTTAACATGGCTTAATGTATTAAGATGCTATTAAAATATCAAATTAAATATACAGTTTATTAATATAATGAATTTATAGTTTTCCTTCTGTACCGCAAAATGTGGCATAATGACTAAAAAGGCCAAACTCAATATGCTCCTCTACATTAATACAACTAATATGTGCAGGTGAGCCCAGAATAAGTGCAACATGCACCGTTTCGTGTTAAGCATTTTTCCATAGAATAAACTATCTACAGCTCTTTTATATCGTTGTCTTTGTCCATTTACGCTACATTATGTGTTATTTATAATGATTTTCTATAGGAGGAAAATATTTAACACATTGTATTCTGGGCTCGTCTGCTTGCCTGTAAGGAGGTGATCATTTTAAAATCACTTAATGCATTTCATAATGCACGTTCATATTTGTTGGTTGGTGTGTATATACTTTGAGTCAACAACAAGACATATAGGCTACTGAGTTGTCCTTATCATCTTAGTCCGTTATTATGCCACATTAAGCGTTTTGCTGTGAAAAATAAAGGACTGCAAGTGACGTTGCTAGCAGAAGCGCAAGTCTGAGAGTGCAAGGCTGCAGCCAGACCCTTCTCACAAGTGTTCTCCGTTCCGCCCATGTGACTTCCTTTTGTGAGTTTGTTTGAAGGCTTTAACTCAATTTCTCAATCTCATAACAGGGTGGAAGTTATATTCTGCCACTCATTATAATGGGAGCTCCAGTGCAAATGTCTTGCCCTGTGAGTTCTCTCCTCCCTTCCGTGACCTGCTTCTCCTCTGGCATGATTGTCACACTTGGCATCAGAGCAGATTATGTTCAAGTTAAAGGCGAGTCTTTATTCTCATTCAATGCAAATTGAAAGCGCCATGAGCTTTACACTCTCTGCTTTTAGTTGATGGATCATGGCAGCCTCTGCTCCGGATATGTGCTCAATGCTCTTTTACATTGGAGACTACTGCTGGTTCACTGGCTGTCACTGCACCATTCACAGGAAGCTGTTGGGAAATGACGGTAAGCGTAACGGCACACTTGAGGTGTGTGTGGGTGGGGGTTTTTATTTTTATTTTTGTTCACAGAGTGTGGAATTGCTCTTATTTTTGGAATTGTACATTTCTACCATTTTACTGGTTGACTTTGGTCTTCCTCCAGGATACTGAAAGGCGACTCCCTTTGATGTACGGTGACCGGGAAGTGACTCTTTCCTGTCCTCTGACACGGCCAACTGTAGCCCCAACCACACCTGCTGTCCGTGACCCAACTGTCATGCAACCGATTATTAACCCTTTCCCTTTTGGAAGACCCTGGTGGTATCCTCCATATCCTGGTGTACCTGCTACCCTGCCTCCCACTGTGCCACCTACAACGACTACAACTGCTCCTTTTCAATATCCTTTCCAGCAACACATGTTCCCTCACAAGTATCCAATGCCAATATTTGATCCTTACTCTAAAGGTGACCCAGCTGCTCCCCCAGCACCACAACCACAATATCCCTGGTACCCAAAGCTCCCTCCTTATATGAATGGCTTCCAAAGCCCAGTTGAAGTGACCCCTCCTGCAACTACCCCTGCCCCATACCAGCCTCCGCACCAGTATCCAGGTTTTCCTATGTACCCACCATTCTATGGTCATCAACCCATGAAGTCTTTGTCTCCAACTGTGAAATACCCTTTCATGCCCCAGTATCCTAAGGATCCAATCTTTGGCCCCCGCAGCCCTAAATCACCATCTTCTCCTGCACCGTTATCCTCATTCTACAGGTCTTGTAGATAACTCGCTTGATTGAGCAGATGAGTATACTCTGAAGTGGCATTGCTTTTATTGACACCAGAACAAATTGAATGACATCAATAGTTGGGTTTAAGCCTAATAAAGCTTTTTGACTTTAATGAATGTTTTTGGCGTTTCTTTTGCTATGAGCGACTGAGAATGCAAACATAGAAGTCTCCCATTCGCTGCTGTAGAAGTTTACCCAACTTTAACGTGTTCTACTGTGGTGTAACCTGCAAATGTGGCAAGGTCTCTTTTGCCAATGACTCTAGTTCCAAACAAAGCCATAACAGAACTTGTGCCCCTGAGCAATGCACAGCAGTGTTTTGTAGAAGTAGTGTGCTTCTCTTTACTTAGTGCGTAGTCTTTATTTTTATTTTTTTCCTTGCTCCTTTTCCTGGTCTTAGCTCTACTGATGAAGGAACGATGCAGAGGGGAAAAAGGAATCCAAGGAAAGCTTGGCTGTTTTGGCATATTCTTGGTCTCTTAAAATCCTCAACTCTGCTCAAAAGATCTGTTCTCATTTTGTTGAGGATTGGTTATTTAAGAAATACTTGTCTGGCGTCAATTTCAAGGTTAGATGTTTAACTTGGCGCACACAGTAGAGCAACTACAGCTTAGCACTTTGTCTTGAACCATTTAATCTTTCCTGAAGAGGTATTTGCAAGTTGGTGCCTTTCAGATCCAGCATTTGATTGGCCTATGCCAGGGGTAGGCAAGTTCGGTCCTAGAGAGCTGCAGAGTTCAGCTTCAACCTTGGGGAAAAAAAAAACTCGCCTGCCTATAGCCTTAGTAATCCTGAAAACATTGATTAGCTTGTTCAGGTGTGTTTGATAAGGGTTGGAGCTGAACTCTCTAGGACCAAACTTTCCTATCCCTGGCCTATGCCAGGGGTGGCGAACATCGGTCCTGGCGAGCCGCAGCCCTGCAGAGTTTTGCTTCAACCCTAATCAAACACACCTGAACAAGCTAATCAAGGTCTGAATGGTTATTAGGAAGCTACAGGCAGGTGAGTTTTAATTAGGGTTAGAGCTGAGCTCTGCAGGGCTGCGGCTCTCCAGGACCGGAGTTTGCCACCGCTGGCCTATGCTGTCAGAGGTGGCCATGGTATGGCCCCTCTGGTATGAGGTCTATTTGCGTAGCTTAATGTCCAAGTTTAGAACAATGTCTTTTAAGGTTTTTCCTATGCATAATTCACTTTTCGAAGCAGTTCCAGATTAACCTACTCATTGTTCTCAAAATAAGACTGAACATTGACCCATACTTTCATATCTATACTGTGTGTGTATACCTTTTTAATAGGTAAGGTTATATACAATGTTGTCTCACGCACAGTACTCACTAAGTCTATACATTTCTGTAAATGGATTTGAAGGTTTAATAGTCTCCATTTTGTGAAACCACAAGGCAAAACTGGTTTGGTCAGTCTGAGTGATCGTTCACACTTGGGTCTCAAAAATGAGGGACCGTGATCCACAAAAGAGCACATGGTGATTGGATCAGTCGTTGTTCAATGGAATGCTGAAGTCCTTATCCTGCCCTCCACAACAAAGCACTTCCTAAACGGGGGTTACTGTATGTTAATGTTACCTCCCGTATACCTTTTTAATAGGTAAGGTTATATACAATGTTGTCTCACGCACAGTACTCACTAAGTCTATACATTTCTGTAAATGGATTTGAAGGTTTAATAGTCTCCATTTTGTGAAACCACAAGGCAAAACTGGTTTGGTCAGTCTGAGTGATTGTTCACACTTGGGTCTCAAAAATGAGGGACCGTGATCCACAAAAGAGCACATGGTGATTGGATCAGTCGTTGTTCAATGGAATGCTGAAGTCCTTATCCTGCCCTCCACAACAAAGCACTTCCTAAACGGGGGTTACTGTATGTTAATGTTACCTCCCTCTCCACAAGAGGTAGTTTTATCTGAAGACAAAGGGCATCCTTTGTCCACAAAGCCTGTCATCTGTCCACTTCAGTTGTAATATTTGTTTTATTTAAAACTACCTCACTCTTCATTACTCGCCTCCTTGCAGTGCAGTTAGAGAACTGAGAAGTCCTTCAAGATGGCTTTGATCAGTTACTGGTTCACAGACTGGATGATGGAGTGAACAAATGAGGAAGCAACAATATCAGAATCAGAATTGGCTTTATTCGCCATGTGTGTGCAAACTTTTATGAATTGTGTTTTTTTAGGAGCATACATATGACATGAGAACAAAAAGAATTAAACAAGGCTAAAGAAAAGAACACAAAAATTATGGTAACACTTTCTATGAAGCCCGTATTTATAATACATTATAAGGGTATTCTAAAGGCATTATAATGAATGCATAATGCATACTTATGTTATCATCTCATGAATATTCATAAGAATAGTTTTAATATATTATATTTACTTATTTGTGGTTATAGCTTTTAAGAGTATGATGATTTATAACACAATGAACACGTTGCAACCACTTTTACAATGGATTCTATTTCTCATAGTTATGTATTATAAGTCTCATATCTTGCCATTTTTCTTATGCTACTTAAGTAGTAATAATAATACTTTTTTTTATCTCACAAACAGCCATAAGATCAGATATCAGATCAGATGAATGTGTAATATGACTCATTTGCTTTGAACTATTTTTATTGTAATATCAGTTTGATTATTTTGATGGTACCCTTTAAACAACTGTTGATAAGTGACTCTGCAACTACATACCAACTAGCGGTCATTAGAGTATTAGTATGTCTGCTACTGTAAATATTTGCTAACACTTTGATGGTCAACCAACAGATAAACTGACTATAAGTGTCTTTGCAAGTACGTCAACTTATTCTACCCTACTAGATTCTACCATTCTTGAGCATACTAATACTCTAATGAGAGTTAGTTGGCATGTAGTTGCAAAGTTGCTTATAGTCGATTAAGTATTTTCAAAATAAAATGTAACCATATAAAACATTGCATTTTTTTCAGTTGGAGTATAAAGCTCACATCAATTAATTAACATTAGCTCCACAGGAAACACTCAACATCTAACCACTCACAAGCTGTAGTAAGATATTGTGCAGATCTTAAACAATGTAAATATATGATACAGTCCATTATTCTGTAAATGAAGTAGATTTAATATGGTGTGTTTATGATTCATTGTGTTATAAATAATCATACTCTTAAACTTATAACCACAAGTACGTAAATATTATGATGTATTATAACTGTTGTTATGATTATTCATGAGTTTATATAACATATTATACGTTTTTTTATAATGCATTATGCATTCATTATAATGCCTTAAGAATACCCTTATAATGTATTATAAATACGGGCTTCATAGAAAGTGTTACCAAAACTATAATTATAATAATAATGTGGTAAAAATCTGGAACAGAAGATTTATGTACAGATTTGTGCATTATTTACTGTACAGTTGTATAAATAAAAATATGCATATGTATTTACATAATACTTGAAAGACAGGCAATTGCTGGAAATGGATAAATGAATTACAGAAAACAGGTAATAATTTCTGTGTTAGCTGTTTAAGATGGAGATGGCTTGGGGGAAAAAACGTTTTTTATGCCTAGATGTTCTAGAGCACAGAGATCTGTAGCGTCTGCCTGAGGGGAGAAGCGCAAACAGGTTGTGGCCAGGATGATAGGGGTCAGTGTTGATGTTGCCTGCCCATTTCTTCACTCTGGAGTTGTACTGAAGGGTTGGGTTGAGTCCTGAAGGTTGGGCAGGTGCACACCAATTATCCTTTCAGCTGTCCTGACAATCCGTTGCAGTCTTCTTATATCTGATTTGCTGGCTGACCCAAACCAGACAGTTATAGAGGAGCACATAACTGACTCAATAACAGCTGAGTAAAACTGTGTCATCTGTGCCTGTGGCAGGTTGAACTTTTTCAGCTGGCGAAGGATGTACAGCCTCTGCTGGGCCATTTTTACAATAAAGTCAATGTGAATGTCCCACTTCAGATCCTGTGAAATGGTGGTGCCCAGGAACCTGAATGACTCTACTGCAGCCACAGTGCTGGTCATGATGGTGAGAGGGGGGAGTGCAGGGGGGTTTCTCCTGAAGTCCACTATCATCTCCAGTTTTGAGCGTGTTCAGCTCCAGGTTGTTGTGACTGCACCGGACAGCCAGCTGCTCAACTTCTTGTCTGTAAGCAGACTCGTCACCGTCCTGGATGAGGCCAATGACTGTAGTGTCATCCGCAAACTTCAGGAGCTTGACAGCGGGGTCTTTAGAGGTGCAGTCATTTGTGTAGAGGGAGAAGAGCAGTACAGAGAGCAGGGCCAGTTTATTCAGAAGTGTATCCGGGATGACGGTGTTGAAAGCAGAGCTGAAGTCCACAAACAGGATCCTTGCATAAGTCCATGGTTTGTCCAGAAGTTGGAGGATGTAGTGCAGACACATGTTAACTGCATCATCCACAGACCTGTTTGCTCTGTAAGCAAACTGCAGGGGGTCTAGCAAGGGTCCAGTAATGTCCTTCGAGTAGGCCAACATCAGTCTCTCAAATTATTTCATGACCACAGACGTTAAAGCAACAGGTCTGTAGTCATTTAGCCCCGTTATTTTTGGTTTCTTGGGTACAGGGATGATGGTGGAGCGTTTGAAGCAGGAAGGACTCCACACAGCTCCAGTGATCTGTTGAAGATCAGTGTGAAGATGGATGACAGCTGGACAGCACATGCTTTGAGGCAGGCTGGAGAGACACCATCTGGGCTTCTGGCTTTCCTTATCTTCTGTTTCCTGAAGACTTTGCGTACATCACCTTGACAGATCTTAAGTGCAGGCTGAGAAGCATTTGGGGCGGGGGGTGTTGATAGCTGTGTTGTGAGACGGTCAGAGCAGGTGTGGGTTAGAGGTCTGCATTTCAGACCTCTTGTGACGCAGGATTAAATTTGCGAATAAAACGCAGTAGCGGTCAGTAACTCTGGTGTAATTTGAACGGGAGCGGGCGGTCTGTACCTTCTGTCTGTACCGCCTTCATTTACGTGCTTGTTTTCATCACTTTCTCTTTAACTCTCGGGCACTGACTCGTTCGCTAAACTGAACATCCAATCAGAGCTCTCACTTGCTTGGTGTGTCCCGGCCTTTACTCACTCTTA